AGCCAATGTCAAACGAAACTTAAGTATAAATTGATATTTTTAGGTAAAATTTGAGATAAAGTTCTTTGTGAATTATAGTATTATTATTGTTTTTTTTTCTTTTAGTTTTATAACTTTTGGTTTTTGGCAAATTACACTGTTAATCCTTATATTTTGACTCTTGTACCATTTTGACTCCTATAATATTAATTGACTCGATTTTAACACCGAATTTTTATTTTGTCTTAAATTGGTCCAATTGATTATAGTTGTTAGTATTTTTTTTTTCCAGCAAATACACATGCGAACATGTGTCATGCCTTTAAAGATAAAATTATAAATATGTTTAATTCAATTAGTTAATCTCAATAAATTCAGTGATAATTTTTCATCAAAAATCTTAATAGTTTTTTCAATTAAACCAAATTAACACAAAATTTAAAATTTAAAATCAAAATTGAATTAATTAAAATTATAAAGATCAAAATAACACAAACAAAAAAATAAAAAAATTAGGAAAATTTACCCATAAATCCTAGTTTTTGAAACGTTGAACCATTTAGTCCTAAAAGTTTTCTTATGCTCCATTTAGTCCCATTTTTACATCAACATGATGTGAATGATGTAAATGATCTGATGTTTCATTCTATAATTTCAAAATTTATTGAAATCTGATGAACATTAGATGTTTTTCATCCTATATTTTCAAACATTATTGAAATTTGATGAACATTAGATGTTTGAAATCCAATGTTTGTAACATGACTCTGATGTTATTAACATTGTATCTGATGTTATTAACATTGTAGTGGGACCTTTCAGTCTATAAAAAAACTTTTAAGACTAAACAGTGCATAAGTTATTAATTTAGGATTTATTGGTGCATCCCCCAAAAAATTACTTGTATAATTTACCCTTTGTTTTTTTACTAATGAATGAATATTTGTCTTGTTTGACCCGACTCTTTTTAATTTGACTTTTAGTTATTTACTAGTTTTTAGTTTTGACTTTCAATTAATAAAAAAAACAAAAAAAAAAACAAAACTTCATTAAAAAAACAAAAACATAAAATTATATTTTAATCCTTCATCAAATTTATATTTAATATTAAAATTGGTAAAAATGAGATCCAATATATTCATTAATCTTATATCAAATCAAGTTTTCATCAAATAAAAAATCTTCATCAAATTTTCAACAATTCGTTTTTCACTTGAATTGAAATTGTTAAAAAATGAAGGGTTTGAGATTTTTTTTTGAACAAAACCTAAATTTGTTGACTGAGGTTTTTATTTGATGAAAAATCCGGTTCACCATTGAAGTGACCTATACCAAATCAAAATTTTAAACTAAATTATTGAACAAATTTAATTTTTTTTAATAACAGTGAAGAGTTTGAGACGTTAGTGCACATGTTTATCAATTTAAAATGCTTATATATCTTATATAAAAAATGTGTAATAAAAATTATACAAATATTTTAAATTTTTTTACATGGAATCTTAAACACACAGTAATATTTATAACAACAATGCTAGGGAGTCACAATTTTTATAGCTACAATGGCTCAAAACTGTCAAAACGACATCGTTTTAGGTGCAAAACATGTTGAGCCATTGTGGTCACAAAAATTGTCCCTCAAATATTTTCCTATTTATAATTTTATACTTACAAATTCACTTACATCATTAACATCATTATAGATTAAATTATGAGAAAAAAAAAATTATAAATCTTAAACACTTTCCAGCCAGATCTAATAATAATTTATTCCTAATATATCACAATCCAATCACCCCTTATACAGGTCAGAAAAAGGGACACCTTAAGATTCACATGGCATGGCAACCCCACATATAGTACAATGCACGATTGTTCCAAAAAGGAGGCTTCGTATTGTGTTTTTGTAAATTTTAAAAAGTTGATATTCAAGAATTATGAAATTTTTTCTTTTTTTGAAATTTTTTGTAAAAGATTTCTCAAACAGATTTTTATTTTTTTATTTTTTTAATTAAAACATAAATTTGTAAATATATTACAAATATATATATATATAATTTTAAAAAACACTTCACCAAAATGTAAATTATTTCTATTTTTCTAATTTTTTTTAGCTGATCCCGAACACATCTTAACCTTTTGTTTTTCAATGGGAAAGCACAAAACTTAAATATATTGCACATCCAATAATAAATCGTCTAATAAAAGTACATCAAAATACAAAATAGATCTTAAAAAAGATAAAGAGAACATTCACACATGGAGGATTCAAGTCCCCACATAGGAGGAAAAAACAAATCTTCATGAAAAGAGGAAACCTTTATATAGAGATATTATTGCAACACAAAAAATAAAAACAAAAACAAAACGATCACTACAAAACAAATAATACCAATCATCTTTATTTACAATCTATTCATTGTCGCAATTGGTAATTTTGGTACCTTAATCCCCTCATCTATATTATAAAATAAAATATTATAAATCTAAAGTGGTTGCTTAACTTATAACAACTCATTTAACATTATCGGCTTTTGGTCATAAATTAGATCTGAAAGCTTTTACGATGGCAAGCCAATGGCAGAGACAATATGAACGGTAATGGCTAGTATAGTATAGTGATGGAAATTGCAAGAGAATAAACAGAAAACAGAGAAAAGTTAAAAGCATTACCCTCTCTCTATAAAGAGCAAAAACAGAGAGTGACTAGAATTTCTGTGAGAGAGAGAGAGAGAGGGAGAGAGGGGCAATAGGGTTTCCTTCTTTCTTAGAGGAAGACCATAAAATAACACATCTTAACCTTGAAAAGCACCAAAAACATGTGCGCATTGAAAATGTACTATGTGATTGAAATTTATTCTAACCTAAATCATAATTTCAAAATGTTTGACTTAATAGGAGGAGAGATAAATAAATAATATATTACTTAAGAATTGGAAGGGTTGAATTCTACTAAATACAAACATTCCAAATCTTGGAGCCATTGAAACTTTGCTTGGTCATTAATTTCAAGGCCTCAAAATTAATCGAGGTACACATAAGTTAGCTTAGACACACGATTATTAAAAAAAACAAAACGAAAACAAAAGCAAAAATAAAACAAAACAAAAAGAGCAATGTGATGTGAGTCATATTTGAAACAAATACCAATCACACAATATGATTTTTGTGCACTTTTTGCATTCTATTTTTGTGCTTGAGAAATGTTAGAAATTTACAATTTTAAACTTACAAATTCATTTCCAATGATGTGGTACGAGTTTTGAGCCTTATATAATTAAATATATTATGAATAAAAAATTAACACCTAAACCTTATTTTGGATTTTTTTAGTGATTTTTTTATTTTTTAAAAAATTAAAAAAACTAATTGTTTGGTTTAACTCACTTTTATTTTCCATATTTTTTGAATTCAATATTTTGAGTAATTTTTTTTAATGTTTTAGATACACTTAAAACGTATAATATTTGTGAATTTTTTTTTTTAAAAAATTCACTAAACACAAAAAAAAATGAAAATTTTATATATTTTCGTATTTTATCGTATTCAATAAATTTTTGTAAGGATTTTTATATAAATTTTATACTTTTTAAATATATCAAGATTAAGTGGATCTAAAAAATAATTAAAAAAATTTGTTTAACAATTTTAAAAATTATTAAAAATATAAAAATATGAATTAAAAATTTAGAAAATTATTTTTAAAAATGCTATTGTAAAAGTTATGGTTATGAGTGTTGATCAAAATTTTCAATACTGTGAAAGTAATGTGTTTTGTTATGAGTTATAACAATTTGAATTAAGTTTTGAAAACTCTTTTCAAAACTCATAACCAAACAAATTTTCTTACTTCACATGTCAAATCAAACTTTCAAAACTCAATTCCACACTCAATTCAACACTTTATTCAAAAACCATAACCAAACAAATTTTCTACACTCAAATCATAATTCTAAAACATACAAACTCAAAATACAACTCATATTCTCAAATCATAGTTACAAAGCTCTACCAAACGGAGCCTAATTGTTTGGTTTAACTCACTTTTATTTTCCATATTTTTTGAAGGGAAATGATTTGGAGCCCTAAAAATACCCCCCCTAATCCCCCTAATTTCCATTTTGGGCAACTGTTTCCTTTTTTTTTTTTTTTTTTTTACTTGATATGGAAATTAGGGGGATTAGGGGGGGTATTTTTAGGGGGATGTAGCATTGCCCTTTTTTGAATTCAATATTTTGAGTAATTTTTTTTAATGTTTTAGATACACTTAAAACGTATAATATTTGTGAATTTTTTTTTTAAAAAAAATTCACTAAACACAAAAAAAATGAAAATTTTATATATTTTCGTATTTTATCGTATTCAATAAATTTTTGTAAGGATTTTTATATAAATTTTATACTTTTTAAATATATCAAGATTAAGTGGATCTAAAAAATAATTAAAAAAATTTGTTTAACAATTTTAAAAATTATTAAAAATATAAAAATATGAATTAAAAATTTAGAAAATTATTTTTAAAAATGCTATTGTAAAAGTTATAATGATTAATTGATTTTTGTTGTGAGATGAAACAATTGATGTGATAGGTTGTTTGGGATGACCTGAATAAGTGTACTTTTTATCTTTTTATGAAAAGATGTGCAGAAAAATAGAGAGGTGATGTGATGAAAAAAAGATAAAAAAATAAATTATTTTTGAATTACCAAACTTGACCTTAAATTTAAGGGAATTTGAAGAACTCACGAGGCTTATTATATGTCATGTTTTATGTCATGCTTTAATAATCTGAATCATATTTTTTTTTTTATCTTATCTTATTTATTTTTAAAAAAAATATATGACCAAAAAAAAAAACATAATAAAAAGCACATACACAAACAATTATTAGCAGTGGAGTTGTTTTTACCGAACTTTATCATCGACATTATTATAGATAAAAAAATTTAGAAATAAAAAAAATAAAAAAAAAAATTAAAATAAAGAGTTATGAGCACCTATCATATCATATTCATGAAAAGCACATACACGCAAACAATTATTAACAGTCACTGCCGCTACCAAGCGCTTCCAACGACGATGCTATACAGTGCAGGCTTCACCTTCCATAAAACACCTCTAAATTCCCCACAACCAAGGATTACCTAATCCAAAACCCTAATCTCTCTCTCTCTCTCTCTCTCTCTCTCTCTCTCTCTATGCCTCCTTTGACAAAGCTACTGTTAGGAAGAAAGTGAGAAGAAGAGTGTGTGAGTTAAAGAAGAAGAAGATGAGGATAGTTAAAACCACTGATTCTTCTCAAAATCCCAGTCTCTTTGGATTCATGGTTGTTGAAGCTTATCCCAAAAGGTATTCCTCCAAGATCCCCTCAGATTTGGTCCTCTTTTTAGGCCTTGGCTTCATAGATTGGTAAATTATATAGCTCATCAATATTTATTCAAACTCTCTCTTGTCTATCTATCTATCTATATAATAAAGACTAGATATTATATACCATATGGCTTTGATTCATCACTGTTTCTCAGCTGTCTTTGGAGGAGGGTATAAGCAGATTCTTGGGTTAGGGTTAGATATAATCTTTATTTAGCTTTTCTTGTTAATCTCTTCCATCTTTCTCTCTATATAGTCACAGATTGTAGAGATTTACAAATCTCTTGATTTTATAGTCATATCTGATTATTTGGGTTTTTGAAATTATATTATTTTTATTGGTTTTGATGTGGGTTTGTTATGGGAAATGGTATAAATAAGATGAATAAACCTAGGATCTTGATGGAGGTGGGGGGGTTTTGTGGGGATTGATTTCGTTGGTAGTGGTTATACAAGGTTGTTAATTTTGTTGAATTGATTCTTGGGATGAAATTTCCAAACCACTAGTGAATTTGCCCTAAAAGACCAAATGAGATCAATTGAAATGGGAGATTCACTTATCAAATCTCTGTCAATGGAGAATCATCGCCCATCCACCCTTTTGTCCATGGATTCAAGTACCTCTTCATCGCACGATGAGTTGGATCTTGAGATGAATCACCAAGGTGCTCTTACCCGTCCCCCTGATATCAATTTACCCCTTTCAGTAGAGCGCAGCCCACCTCCACAACTGTGGTGCTCAGACCAGTGTGATATGCTTGATGTTGGGCTTGCTCCCCAAGTCTACGAGACCGAGAGCTTTCTCAGTGTCCCCAAGGTTGGACGGAAATGCATAAAACGGACAGATAGCATCTGGGGTGCATGGTTTTTCTTCAGTTTTTACTTCAAGCCCGTTTTGAATGAGAAATCCAAGGCAAAGATTGTACGTGATAGTAATGGAGTTTCGGGTTTTGATAAATCTGATCTCCATCTTGATATTTTCATGGTTCAGCATGATATGGAGAATATGTATATGTGGGTTTTCAAGGAAAGGCCTGAGAATGCGTTGGGTAAGATGCAGTTAAGGAGTTACATGAATGGTCATTCTCGTCAAGGAGATCGTCCCTTTCCATTTAGTGTTGATAGGGGTTTCGTTCGATCTCATAGGATGCAAAGAAAGCATTACAGGGGACTCTCTAATCCACAGTGTGTTCATGGGATTGAAGTTGTTTCCTCCCCAAATCTCATGGGTCTTGATGAAGATGAGCGGAAAAGGTGGAAGGAACTCACAGGGAGGGATTTCAATTTCACAATCCCACATGAAGCTAGTGATTTCAGTTCATGGAGGAATATCCCAAGCACCGAATTTGAAATTGAGAGGCCACTTCCTCCGGTTAAGAGTAACCCAAATCTGAACCCTAAAAAATTGCTTAATGGGTCTGCTCTGAATTTGTCAACTCAGCTATCTAACCTCAGCAATGGCGATCAAGTAGACCTATCACCTGTCAGCAAGAGACGGAGGGACTTTTTCCCACACGGGAACGATGTTGAATGTTATTTGGCGGTTAATCCTCTTAATGATCGTGTTCCGGAGATGGAAATTAACCCGTATGGACCAAACTGGTTGAACGACTTTGGTGGGGTGATGAGGAATGTTTATGGGCCTGTTACAGCTGCGAAAACAATTTACGAAGATGAAGAGGGTTATTTGATCATCATAAGCTTGCCCTTTGTAGATCTTCAAAGGGTGAAAGTCTCTTGGCGAAACACCCTCACTCATGGGATCATTAAGGTATCTTGTCTGAGCACTTCTCGCGTGCAATACATCAAGAGACATGACAGGACTTTCAAGATTACAGATCCATCGTCGGAGCACTGTCCTCCTGGTAGATTTGTTAGAGAGATCCCACTTTCAACTCGAATCCCGGAAGATGCCAATATAGAAGCATACTACGATGGACCGGGAACAGCACTAGAGATCATGGTGCCAAAACTCCGCGTGGGGCCAGAAGAACATGAGGTTCGTGTTTGCCTTCGCCCTCATCTGGGGAGCAATGATCTTATGTTGACCTAATATGTGAATCCTTTGAAACTTTATGCTATCAGTGGTGCTCCATTGTTGCTTTATAGTACCAAATAGTGTATTCTATGAAATAAAATGCTCTGTTTCACTTTTGCCATGTTGAATTTTGGGTCACTATTTGCAATGGTTTTGTTCCCATGCATTTGGTTGGCTTTTGTTTGTAATCACTTTTAGTAATATTTGATCTTGTGTTTGAATTGGCTGTTCCAATTAGTAGGCATACTATTCTCTAATTATGTTTGAAGCTTCTGCAAATTCTATGAAATTATATCTTCTTTTCATGGAAAACCTTGGATGATTTTCTTCTGGAAAGTATTTTTGCGGTGTAATTCTAGTTGTTTTGTTTTGCATGAACTATTGTTGAAACTAGTTCCGAAATCTCAGATTTGTTGGTCAAATCTCCATCCATTAGTTCATGGATGCTTTTGGGAAAGTTGGTCTGTTATAGCTATAGTTGTTTTATTTCATTTTCTTCTTCCAAACCAAGCCTTTTGGATGTAATGCACACTTGGAAAATGTATGTGATAGGTTGTGGATTCTTAGGGAGGCAACTACTAGTTACTCCCCCAATATAATTTTGGATTAATTACACTAGTTCCTATAGTTTGGGACTTGTATCATTTTGATCAATGACTTTTTAATTGTGACACATTTGATCCTAAATTTTGAATCTTATTTCAAAGAAGGACAATTGAAAATGTCATTAGATTTTTTAAGGGTAAAATCGTCAATTTGATAAAATATAAATTAATTTGACAAAAATAAATGTCAAAAAAATATTTTAAATTTTTTTAAAAATATTTTTATCCACCAATTATAAAATTATGTAAAATTAATAAAAATTACATGATTAATTTTTTAAAATTAATTTTACATGATCATGATCTAAATACATAATAAAAATTAATTTGGTAAAAAAAAAAAAATGTCTAAAAGATTTATCAATTTTACATAATTTTATTTTTAATGGGTAGAAATAATTTTTAAAAATTTAAAAATATTTGTTTGACATTTATTTTTGTCAAATTAGTTTATATTTTATCAAATTGACAATTTTACCCTTGAAAAATCTAATGATATCTTTAATTGTCCTTATTTGGAACAGGATTCAAAATTTAGGATCAAATGTGTCACAATTAAAAAGTCAGGGATCAAAGTGACACAAACCCTAAATTATAGGGACTATTTGTGTAATTTGTCCTATAATTTTTTATACTAGGAAGCAAATGTTGACAAGGGTTTTTAAGGCATTGTTTAATATCAAAATAAAAGTGAAAAGTGGAGTTTTTTAAATAAACCCCCGTCATTTTTTTAATTAAAATTTTCAAATTTAATTTTTTTTCAACTTGTTTCCCATAACCAAGTTGAATTTGAATTGTGTTTTTAATACACAAACTTTGAATTTAAAGTCTTTCAATACATAATTTAAATAAATAAATAAATAAAAACCATCAAAAAACGTGAAATGACCCCAAAATAAGTTAAAAACAACTTCAGTTTGGTAAATTTGATATACGACGGCATGGGTTTAGTAGTAAAAAAGAATACTGTGAAAAATTCACCCAAAAAATGTTTTCAAGTCAATAAAAATGGTTGTTTTTTTAGAATATTTTTCTAGGCTACTTAGCTTTTTAATTTTTTTTAGTAATTTTTTCAATTAATATATTTGATCTGTTGTTAAAAATATTACTTTTTGTAATAGAAAAAAATAGGAAAAATTATTATTTTTTAAATTCCAAAGTTTGACTTTTATGAAAAAATAAATTTTAAACTTTCAATTTTGTTAATTTAAATCTTTAACTTTTGATTGGTTATAAATTTAAATCATTTGATTATTTCGTTAAATAAAATTGATGAAAAAATAACATTTTTGTCATTAAATTGAATGAAAAAAAAAATAATATTTTAGACATTTTATGTATTCCTAACAAAAATAGACAAATGATTTAGATTAAAAATAAATCAAAAAATTAAAATTAAAAATTCATAATTTATTTTGTTAAAATATTTAAATTCTGAATTTTTTTTTTATAATTGTTTCAAAAAAGAAAATTAAGGTAACATTTCACTTTTTGATTTTTTTGATTTTTTTTACAGAAATTAACTATCTTTTGGTGTTGCCTAACAGTCTAAGGGTGTGTTTGTTTTGAAGGATTAGAGGGTGGGATTAGACTATTAGTCCTATAATCCATTGTTTGTTTCATTTTTTTTGCTCCGGACTAATAGTTCTCCCGGACTATTAGTCCCACAAATATGGGGTTATCCTATCCCATGGGGGAGGTGGGATAGAAACCATGGGATTGGTATCCCATGGGATTATTTTGTAAAATGTCCATTTTACCCTCCATGCTATTACTTAGCAAACAATTAGAAAAGGATAAAATAGTCTATTCAATGTTTATAAATTATTTTTTTAGCGTTGTTAATTTAAAATTATATATTAACTAAAAAATTTAAATTATAAATTAAATTTAATTAAAAATAATAAATTATAAATTATGGCCTTATAAATTAAATTTTTTTAGTGTTGTTAATTTAAAATTATATATTAAATAAAAAATATAAATTATAAATTATAAATTTAATTTAATTTAATTGAAAATAATAAATTAAAATAATTAAAATATTGTGCAAAAAATAAAATAAAATAATTTTTTATTTAATCTAGTTAAAAATAATTAAAATATTAAAGTTATGTTTAATATTGCTATTACTTAGTAAATAATTGAAAATGATAAAATAGTCATTTGAGCATTTATCATTCTCCATAATATCCCAAACAAACACTGGATAACTAAAAATAGTCAAATCCAGACATTCAATCTCATGACTAAACAAACATAGGATACAAATTTAGTCCAACCAAATAATCTCGGGATAATATATCTCAGGACTAATAGTCCGATGGATTATAATCCCCCTTTATCCAGTCCGTCCAAACAAACGCACCCTAAGGGTGCATCCAATGGTGTATCAAATATTTTACCAAATTTAAATAAAAATTTGAGTAAAAACTCTGTTTGATATCGCATACTCCAACAAAAGAATTTGACTTTTCATCAAATTACTAACCGGCTGCAAAAAAAATCTCCCAACAAAGAGATGATTCTACGAAAAATGCTTGAGAGTATTAAAAAGAGAGCATCAGGGGAGCACTAATAATGTGGCAGTCGACTCCGCCCACTTTCTATGCCTTGTTTTTTTTTTATTATTCCCAATATATTAATATTATTAGTGATGTATTTTTTAATAGCCTAAATCATTGTTGTGATTCTACCTAGCACTACTAGCTTCATCACCTTTGCAAGGTACAACCACCGTAACCAAGTACCACTACCTCTGGTTTCGATAAAAAAAAAAAAAAAAGTACCACTACCTCAACAATCTGAATCTGAATTCTACTAATCCTGCTTTGGTGTCCAAAACCCTCTTTCCTAATAATAATAATAATCATGGAATGGGAGGTGGGACATGTGTTTGGGTAGGAGTGGATTACCCAACACCAGAAGAGGAGGAGTCCACGCTTCCTTGCTTGAGACCCCTCTTCCGTGGGCTAGCAGGCTTTGCATCTTTTATGCTCTCCATCAAACCCAGTTGTCTGTCTGTCTCAGGTCTACTACAAGATAAACATTCCGTGGGCTGTATCCGTATTTTTTTGTGTATCTGATTATCCCTCTCTGTGATGGTTGTGTTTTTGTTGTTGTAGATTTGGAAGCTGGTTCTGACGATCTGGGTTTCTCTAAATGGATTGAAGAGATCCAAGCAACCAAGGTTTGCGGGTTTCTTCAAATTTAATGGGGAAGGCCATGGAAGAGGAAGATTATCAGAAGATCAGCTTATGGAAGAGAAAGTTTATCATAACTTATGGGGGAATTGCAAACCAACTAAGTGGCCGGACGTCCGGTACGTCATCTGAGTGGTCGTTCGGTGCTCGAAAATAACGGTTTCAAACAGTGAAATGTTGAAATGTCCGCAATTTGATGAAATATTTTTTATATTTTCTATTTGAAACATATTTTGTAAAACCGTTAGTAAGAAAAGAAGTTACTTTTCATCAAATTTGAATTTGGTGATGGTTTTGATGCACGGTTGAAGATCACCTAAGAACACTTGTTGACTAAATCTAGTACTCCTTCTGTTTCAAAATATTAGTCATTTATTCTATTTTTTATTATCTCAAAATATTAGTCTATTTTTAAAAATTAAGGAAAAAATAATATTAATTTACTATTTTATCCTTCTTTTAAATTTATTAATAACATAAAAGTACAATTATTACAATTGATATTTTTTAAAAAATATATTACCAAAGAATAATTTTAAAAAATTAATATTCTTAAAATATAATAATTGTACTATAAAAAAATTAAATTCTCTAAAAAAAAAATTATTTTGGGATGAAGGGAGTAACAAGTTACTAAAAAAATATTTTCCAAAAGAAAGGTCTTGCAATTCAATTAGAAAAAAAAAAAATTACATAAACTATTCCTATATTATGGTGGAGGCAGTTGTTAAGTAAAACATTGTTGAATTGAGTTGATTCTTTGAGTGGCTCATTGAGTCAATTTAGAGGACAAAATAGAAAATTTATATTATTTTTATACTTGATTTTTGAAGAGAGATTAATATTTTGAGACAATAAAAAATAAAATAAAATAAAAAATTAATATTTTAAAATAAAAAGAATATTATTTTAAGACTGAGGGAGTAGATGCGTTTTTAGGGGTAGGCAAGGCACCTCCTAAAGTTTGCTCCACCACATGAAATTAGAGAAAGAAGATTCATGAGGGTGACAAAATATTGATATGTCTATGTAAATAAAGCAAAAGGAATTCCTTTGATATGAACTTGTTCATATAACTTTTTCAAGGAGGGAGGGAGTGACTTATCTTATTATGGGACCACATGTCCACATCAATGGTGAACCAATGGTAGTGTGCCACTTTAGTAAATGGAGATTAATTGAACAAACTCTACAGTTACTATTAAAACCATTTTGGTGATTTTATTGTGGAGGCTGAGTCAAAAATGTGTGTCCTTTGTAAGTGTAAGTGGGTCTGATAAACGGGTGGTTGTGAAATTCATGATAATAAAATCAACACCAAGAAAGAAATTATATCACTTTATTTTTTTTATTTATGAATTTGTTGTTTAAAAAGAAAAAAATTTATATATATTGACACATCTGTAACTATAAAACCCCGTATAAATGTCCCTCTT